CATGTACTAATAGAAATACAACTACTAACACAAGTATTACTTACTCTTCTCTTGCGGGCGGACGTTAGGGTTCCACGTGAAAATCAGGTTGTTTTGAGTCTTTTTAAAATAAGTATGGCTATCTGTAATGAAAATTATGATGATAAAAGTTATATACTTGACAGAAGCAATTACTCAAAATGTTCTCTGGCAGCTGTTTTGAAGTTTTCACAAACACAAAAAGTGACACTTTACGTGTATATTGCATGAACTATGATTAACCTGAAGTCAGTATAAGAATTCAGAAAAAATAAAAAAAAGAATTCAGCAAGAAACTAAGTTTTGAATAGACTATTGTGGTTAATTGGTCTGGGCTTCAACAGAGGGGTAGAGGAGTAGCTTATATTCACACAGCACTGCAAAGATGAACCAGGCACAGAGAATGCTACAATGCTGCTAAATAGCCTATTTTGCTCTAAGAAATGTCCAGTTTTTATCATTACTCTATAATTGATATCTCCTATTTTAATTAGAAGCAACGTTTGCTGTTTAAGATCATTAATACTGCCATTGATCACACAGAGCCATTTTTCAGTACTCTCTTCCTTCCTTTTAGGAAGTTGGAACATTCTACGATATAATGCCAATATAAGACTGGCTCATGATGTAGGGTACCAGTACACACTGAGCCTAGAAGGCTTTATTTAATCAAAACAAGATGAAATGTCCTTGCCTTTTCTGTACAGAGCGGCAGCGGGAGCCCAGGGAGCTCTCTGAGTGTTTCTGGGGTAGGAGGCCTAGCCACCTTGCCTTGACTGCAGTAACCGCTGGGATGGTGTTATCACTCTGGCCGCCATGTGACAAAACCTGGCCTGACAGATGGTGTCATAGACACTGCTGTTTAACCTAATAGCCTTTTCCCTCATTCCATAAGAAGGAACCCTTGAAGTTTAACTAGATACATGTTGACCCAGAACAAAGACAACCTCTCCTAGGCACTCTTGCTGCTAGGTATGTCCATGTAGTTAAGATCTGGCCAATGTCACGCAACTGAAGCAATGCTCGCGACTTCCCTCACAGGGAAGGGGCGTGTCCTCCCCTCCCCCTTCCTCCCCTTTTAACGGCTGGAATGTGGACACAAGGGTGAACCAGCTTGGACCATGTGGGTCGGGACAATACCCCAAGGGTAGCAGAACAAGAAAACAGAAAAGCCTGGGTGCCAGTCAACTTTCTAGATGAGGGATAACATAACAGATTGGACTTTCACGTGAGAAATTGCATATGAGAAACGCATTTACACAATTACGGGTCTCCATTACATACAACCGCCCCTATATTCTAATCAACGCACAAAATGAGGGAACACATTGCCCCATGATATCTTCTCTGTACAAAGAAAGCCCTGAAGACATTGAGATCCTGGATCAGGCTGTACCTGAAGTGAGCGCCACGGCTGAATTTTTCAGTTACAGTATGCAAAAACAAAATTCTATTCTGTTTTCTTAAGATGATGTAAATTAAGGTGATATTAATTTATCTGAGAGTCCTGGCTCTTCTTTTTCTTCAAGGCACAAACGTATCTGTTTTGGAAGAAATACTTTGCCTGACATTTACATAGTCCTTTTAAACTAGTTTTCCTACAATTAATGAATAGTTTGCCCAAAAGAATATTCCTGATTGATATAGTGGGTCTGAGCAGCAATTTTAGCTTTAGAGGTGAGAATGAAAAATGGTGGCTCCAATACAGACAGGTGACTCCCCACAGACTAGGCTGTTTTAGGACAAAATGTCTCAGATATGGATGGAATGTTATACAACAGTATCTGTTTCCTACTCTCCCTGTGCCTTGGACCATGCTAAGTCCTCAAGGTTAAAGATGTGAGGAATGGAAGTTTGATGAAACAGATAAGAATGACAAAGGGCGCAGAGTAAAGGAGGGGGGCCCTTCCCCCTATTCTGCACAAACCTATGCCTCCATGGTACTCTGAGGTTTGGCAACTTCTGTGAACAGTGTCTTTTGCTTTTTATTATTATTTAAAAAAACAATTGGTTTGTATACATTGAACCCTCTAGTTGGTTCGAAAAGTGACATTGATTCTTTTAGGTTTCTACTGATAGTCACATTTTCTATAAGTAAAGTTGCTTCCTCATACTTCGCTGCTTTATCATATTTGCTGTAAAAAATGTTCCTTTAAAGTTAGTTAGAATGATGTAAGGGTTAAAGGTTTTACGTGGGTATGGGGAGGAGAGACTGTCACAAGTGCTCTTATCTTGAGTCTGATGAGCTTCAGAAGTAGTCATACTTTTATAATTTCAGGGACGTTATGACACCGGCCTTTTTCTTGGGAGTAGATCAAAAGTGTTCCCCAGATTCTCAACAAGATCAGGTACAAATATTTCTACTTTACCCTTTTGGAAATCCTAACACCACTTATGGTTTGAACTTAAAAGAATTGTTAAAAATTGGGGTCCTTTGAGCTTTTCAGACTACAGGGACAGATACGAAAGATAATTAACGTCATTCTAAATCTTACAAATAGCAGTCCTACAAACATATTTATTAAAAGATGTGCTGATTAATTGGAAAACAGAGACAAGGGTACTTTCCAGTCAAGAAAGGATTTCAACACTGCTAGTTGTCATTCACTGTACAAGCAAGGGTTTTATACATTTAACAGAAACAATGAATTAAAAAATCAGAAAGTCTAGATTCTAGTATGTTTTATTTGTAACTAATCACATACAAATCACTTATCCATAAAATAATGATTAACAACTATTCTCTAATTCACAAATATAGCACGAAACCAAATTCTTCTCAAGAAAATCTCTTTGTAAACCAAGATACTACTACTATTTTGCTTAGGCTTTAACTTAAAGGTTGAAAATGACAATTGGAGAATCTGTCTTTTATCAATCAGTTGAACATCTTAATTCTGCAGAAGGATAGTCTGGTTGAGATCATCACTGTTCTATTTCAAACCCACAAAGGAAAAAGCTATCAACAAGAAGTTCCTGGTGAAGAAAAAGTTGGCCAAAAAAATAACCCTATTGAGAAACAGCTTTGTGTTAAGGACAGTGCCGAAAACAACCCTGATGTCAAATGGAACAAAATTGAGCCTCAGGCAACTAAAAGCATGTCTGTCCTTCTGAAGGAACACATACTAGTAGGATAAGCAAGCATCTTATTTTACTAAAAATGTTGAACAGGAACGTCTTGTAGAATCTTCAAACAGCCCATCAAAATGGCTAAGAAATATCTTTAAAAAAAAAAACAACCTTTTATGTCTTCCTCTCTGTTTTCATCCTATGGTATTTCAATAAAAAATCCAGTTCCCTACCAGAAAGAGCACATTCCTCTGTACTCTGCCCGGATGTAAGAAATGTTAGCACGCTGTCACTAGAGAATAAACACAGAAGAGGAATTATCATGTCACTGAATGAAGATTCAGGGAGATAATTCTGACTGTGTGTAGAAAAAGTTATACACCATAAACATCTGGTCACTTATCATGTATATGTATCAATAACAACTATATCTAATAAACCCTCAAGAGGTAAGCACTTATGTTTTCATGTATTTAACAATGTAAGTTTTGTGTGATTTATTCTCTATTTCTGGACTTTCTTTCCCTTACATATGCTGACAGAAACAAAGACTGGAGCATGGTTCATAGAGAAACACAGAACAGATACAAATACCATAATAAAATAGCCTTGTACACCACTGCATAGAGAAATATTTTAGACGAAATATACTTTCACTACTGGCCCCAAATGCTATCATCCACTTATGTTATTTAACTGTAAACTTTTAATAGAAAAATACCTTTAAGCTGATAATAACATTTAGCGACTTACAAAACTGACAGAATTTTTCAAGGCTACACAAAACAGTTCTATACACAACTTAGAGTTTGAAAATTCTTTGCTGGCACTTGATTTTATAGTTGATAGACACAATAACTACTGATTTCAATAAAATACTGTTCTTAACTAATACATACTTTCAAAACCAATATTACTCACAAAACAGTAAAGAATAATCACATCTTGTTGACAAATCTTCTAAGATAAACACCAAAACTGTACAGCCAAAATATTTTAAGAATCACATAAACTTTTTAGGACAGTGGATAAAAATTTTCACAATCATGTCCAGTGAAAAAAGGATTATTCCTCTGATTCAGTGACGCATGTATCAAGTATAGATTTAAAATATGAACCTACAAAGCAAGTTACTGGGTTTTTTTTTTTTAAAGGTATTTTAGATGATTGGTGACACTACTAGAATGGAATTTTTTTAGATGGAAAATTGGTCACTATTTGCAAATACACGTTATATTACAGATTTAAAACTGAAATTTCTTTTCAAACAGTAGAATCCTGTTTTTTTTGTTTTTACTTTCAGTGAGCTTATGACCATTCTATATATTATCACAAATGAAATCACCATTCAGCCACATTAAACATATGTTTTTTTTTTTTTTCACAAAAGAGGAGAAACCTGAACTAAAACTTAGCAGACTATATGTGTTAGAACACATTTTGTAAAAACCCCCTAGTTTAAAGTTTTGGAAATCTACTACACTGTTCTGAAGGAAAATAGATGATTTCCAACCCTCTCTAATAATTCCTAACCAATCAGTTTTCTATTGTAGAAATTAAAATTCAAGTTGAAGTACTTGTGGCACAAGACGGAATGTAAGATTTAATAATAGAAGACTATTGATTACAACTAACTTATATTGTCATCAAACATAAACATACTAAACAATCAACACTGGACTTTTAGAACAGTAAATTATTAAATAGGTTGATTTCTTTTAATGTTTAAATTCTGTAACATTAAATTACGTTAGTATTTCCAACAATACCCTTTCTAAACCAAACCTGAAATTAATCAACTTTTTTTTTTTTTCCAGCAAAATGAAAGGGTCTCTTTAAGATACTTTCCAAAGCAGTAAAAACATCTCAGTGTTTCAGCTTATCTATAACACACTCTGCTGACCCTGCGCATTTCACTGAGGGGCTACCTGAACCCACAAATCATCATCAGATAAAGAACTTGAACTTCCTGACTCAGAGTCCAGCTCACTGAATCCACCTAAATCCCACTCAGTGCTAGATTCACTGGGCACTTCCTCCTCCTCAGTGAGAAAACTCTGACCAGGTTCAAGGCAGGAAGGATAAACGCGAGCTGAGAGGCAAAAAAAGTTAGAATCAAACTGGAACAGGCCTAATGTGGTACCTATATTAATCCACTGGTCGCCCCTGATATCATATTCATACACGGTCACCCGGTTCTTTTTCCACTGCGGGGTGCGTGAGGTGATCAGCAACAGTTTTTGGCCATGATTGATAATCCGGTAGTTGTTAGTCTCTGACACCAAGGGAATGTTATTAATCTGCCTCCACTCTCCTCTGACTGGATTGTAGACCTTCATGACAGGGATATCGCAGATGCAATAGATCTCATCATTGAAGACACAGGCTTCCTGAAAATCATTGCGCTTCAGAGAAACACACTTCAGCCACATATTGTGGCTGGGATCAAAGCAGAACATGCGCTTACTATTGAGCGCGTAAAGATAGTTCTGAATTACCATCAGATCGAAGGAAATAAAAGAATGGGGCAGTGGAGCCACCAGTGCCCACTGGTTCCTCTGGACACTGTAGCACTCCACCTCCTTCAGTTTAATGCCGGTAATAGGGTCTCGCCCACCCAAAATGTAAATGTAGCCATTGAGGTATGCCACATCCATGCCCTCACGGCAGAGCAGGCGGTCAGCAAGTTGCTGCCAACTATTCTGGGCTGGTTTATACACCCAGAGGTCTTTCCTGGGCTGGGCAGCCAGATAGATGTCATGGTCTGGAGAGACACAGACAGCTAAGGTGGTCACAGTCCTAGTGTGAGCAAGGCAGGTCAAAGGTGATGGCACTTTGTAAATGTCCCCCGAGTATGGGTCACAGCACAGAAAGGGATCTCTGGGATGTCCAAAGAAGATCACCATCTTCTTGGCATACACACCCAGCCTCTGGGGTGGATTCTCTGCCACCGATACAACAGAGCTGCTGCTGCAGCCGCCGCCGCCGCCACCACCAGCGCCGCTAACGACACAGCTAACGCCGCCGCTGCTGCTGCCGCCACCGCTGCTGCTCTCTGGCTTTGGCACCAGAGACTTGCACAACGTGTCACCATATCGCATCTGCCGGGCCCCTTCAACAAGGTCCAGACAGTATTTCTTCACCATGGTGTTGGTCAGCAGCCCCTCCAGGTAATTCCGATCTTCATCGGTGAAGTGTGTCCAGCGGACACACTTGAAGACTTCTGCAGCGCTGGGACCCCGCTCCTTGGGAGCCGCCTCCAACCACTGCACCGCCACGTGGCACACGGTCTGCTCATGCTCGATGTTTAGGCTGTCCAGGCGCAGGACAGTCAGAAGTTGGGCCAGGGTCAGATCTGCCAGAGACTCCTCCCGAATCGAACTCATCTGGCTGAGCTGCTTGAAGTTGTGAGCTATAAACGACTGGGCCTGTGATCGCAGCTTGCGATGGCCAAAGGCGTCGGCGAACTTGAAGATGGCCGTACAGTTGGCCAGGTCAAGGCGGCGGGCTAGGAAGGAGGCACAGGCTTCACGCACATACTCGAGCTGCAGCATGTCGGAGGCGGCGTACAGGCGCTCCACGTTGGATTCACTTAATGACACACGACCCGTGTAGCAGTAATCGACCAGCACCTCGAAGGACTCGGCATCCACATCGTGCATGGTCACGTTCGTCTGGTGACTCTCGTACATGCCGCCGGTGAACATGCTCTTGAAGTAGGGACACGCGGCAGCCAGCACGTTACGGTTGCAGGGGAAGAGGCGGCCCGTGCCAGGCCCGCTGCCAGGCGTGACCACCTCGATGGTCACATCACAGAGCAGCCGCGCGTCGTAGAAGGACTTGAGCTGGGCCAGCAGGGCTGCGGAGTGGGCCGTGTCCTTCAGCTCCTCCGGGCCCGTGAAAAAAGCCGAAACCGTGGGTTTGTGAACCCTTTTGGGCCGCTTCCCGCCGCGGGGACTGGCGAGGCGGCGAGAGCGCGAAGCTTCTTCCCGGGACTGCATGGTGGAGATGCTGGCCGAGAGCTGAGGACGAGTACTGGTGCAAGGACCGGGCTCTGGCGCCTCCTCACCCTCTGCTCGCTGACGCTAAGACCGCGGTGTCTCCAGAGAGACTGCAGCACGGGTCCATTTATTTAAGTCAACCCTAAGCCGCGGTGCCGCCTCCCTCGACCGCGTAGACCGCGTCCGACTCACCCGTTTCCAGTTCCACGCCCTTTCTCCGCCTCAGCTCGCCCTCACAGGACCTACTGGCTGGAACCGAGCGATCCGCCACCGCCGCGCTGGCAACACCAGTAGGCGTCCAGGAGAACTACGACTCCCAGGTTACCTTTCGTGCCTCGAGGCACGCCGGGGCCCTCCGGACTCTGCGGCATAGGCTGCGGCACCAGCTGCGGCACGGGCTGCGGCACGGTAGCCGCTTTGCATGTTGGGAGTAGTAGTAGCCGCAATAACATCGCGAGATTGTCTGCTGTTCATTGTTTCAGATGACGGAGTTAGAAATCGCTAATTCTCTTCTATTCGGTGTTATGGTTTCGAACTTTGGGTGTAGAATTCAGTTTAGATACCCGTTCTAGTGTTTATCAGTTGTTTGACTTCTCAGAGTTCTTGTTTTTGAAAACGTTAATAGCAATAGTATTTCATAGCGTGTGACGATTGAACTAAATTGCGTAGGTGATATACCTCTAAACATAGGCTGGATATACTTGCTCTGAATAAATATTTGTTAATTAGTAGAATAACATACTTATACGTAGTACCCATAATATAAAGGTTCAATAAGTTTTAGCTTTTCTTCTAACGTTTATGAAAGGTGTAGCAACCTCTCATTTGAAATCATGAGTCTGTAGGAAAATGGGAAAAACCCTGCAGGTTTCTGCAGAGATACCTTTAAGTTTTGGGGGTTTTGTTTTTTTAATAAATAGATTTTAAGATCAGTTTTAGGTTTACTGGAAAATCCAACAGAAAGCTACAGGAAGCTCCCACATATTCCACCCCTTCTCAGTTTCCGCTGTTTACAACATACTGCATTAGTGTGTGCCGCTGTTACAAGTGATGAACTTAACACTGATATTAATTAAAGCGTGTAGTTTAATTTTAGGGTTTACTCTTTGTGTTGTACAGGTCTATGGGTTTTGAAAAATGTATGTCATGTACCTATCATCATTACAGTAATACACAGAATCGTTTCACGGTCCTAAAAATCCTCTGTTCAATCTACTTATGCCTCTTCTTCCTTGCCCCCCAGCCCCTGGGAAACATTGATCTTTTTATTGTCTAGTTTTATCTTTTCCAGAGTGTCTTGCAGTTGGAATATCTTCTTTCACTTGGTAATATTCAGTTAAGATTCCCATGTCTTTTCACGGCTTGATAGTCGTTTCTTTTTATCATTGAGTAATATTCCATTGTGTACTTATACCAGTTTACTTATCCATTTCCCTGCTAAATGACATTTTGTTTGCTTTGAATTTTTGCAATTATGAATAAAGCTGCTATAAACACTCATGTTGGTTACTGCATGGACATAAGTTTTCAACTCATTTTGGTATATGCCAAGGACTGTGATTGCTGGATCACATGGTAATACTATGTTTAACTTTGTAAGGAAGTGCCAAAATGTTTTCCAAAGTGGTGGCCTGTACTGTTTTGCATTCCCACCAGCAATTAATGAGCATTCCTATTGTTCCACATCCTCCCTAGCATTTGGTATTGTCAGCCTTTAAACTTGCCTCTCTGGGAAAAAATTCTGAAGGATCTGATCATATTTTAAACATCTAGCAATATCTGCAGGGCTGTTCAACTGTGGTCTCAACAGTATGTATGAATTTTCTCAAATACGCAAATCAAGAATATTAACAGATGCTTTGGTGGTCTCACAAAGTCTGTATTTCATGTTCCAGAAGTAATGCTGAAGTATTTTCATTAATTCTCTTGATATGAATGTTCATAACTAATCCAATATAGCTCCTTTCACTACCATCCCCAAATTAACTGAAGATTCTAGAATTCTAGTTATTAAGGAGAATTTTAAATAAAAACATTTAGCAAAGAGACCTTGTACTGTGTGGGATCCTAAGAGTTCAGCATCATACATACCCAAACATCCCTTGAATTAGTCTGGTCTAATGTATGCTTTACAAAAGTGTTTTTATATTTGTATTTATCAACATTGTTTCACTATAAAATCCTCAAAATAAATTGTGCTCAGTCATTGAGTTTTAACTTTTTCATATATGCCTCTAACAGTGTAATTTGCTTTCGACTGCTTTTCACAAAATTCAAAATATTTATTAGACACTGTGCTGTAAGGCCTACAGCAGTATTGTTCAGTAACATTTTCTGTGATGACGAAAATGTTCTATATCTGTGTTATCCATTATGGTAGCCATTAGCCACATGTGGCTCTTAAACACTTGAAATGTAGCTAATGCAACTGAGGACTGAAGTTTTCATTTTAGAAACATAGCATTGGCAGCAACAAATCTTTTGAACAAATGCTACCAAAACAACTGGATCATAATGGAAAAAAATTAACCTTGAAACTGACAACGTTGAACTTTACCTAATCCCTGTGCCACAGGGCAAACAGCAATAATTAAGAAATCCCTTCAACCTTTTTTTTTTCTCCCTGGAGATGATCCTATCCTTTTGTGACTGGAAACAGGTAACCCAGCAAACCACCTTCTCCCGCGTGACTTAGATAAGAGTCATTGTCTACTCTTTCTCATGACTACCATAGGGCTCACAGAGGAGCCCCTTATCTACCTGTGAGAAGGTTAAACACAGACCTTTCCATTTTTGCCTGAACCTGCCAACAAGGCCAGACACAGGGTCTCTAACTCCTAGTCCTTTGTCTCATGACAAATGAGATTAGAAGTGCGCCCATGGAAATTCCCTGGCGGTCCAGTGGTTAGGACCCGGTGCTGTCACTGCTAGGCCCAGGTTTGATCCCTGGCCAGGGAACTACGATCACACAAGATGCGCTGTGAGGCAAAAAATAAAAAATAAAAGAAGTGCACCCAAGCTAGCTAGACACCAAAATACACATTTCCTAGTCAGCCGACCAAGACTTCCCCTAGTTACAAAAGCAATTCTAACTGTAAACCACTCTACCTATAACTTGTCCAAACCCTCCCTATAACAGTCTAAGGCAAACTCACCCTGCCTTTGATTCTGAACTGTTCTCCACAATGGCAATATTCTGAATAAACTCAGTTTCCTTACTTCTTTGGTTTTTGCCTTTGACAGTTTGGTGCCATTACTGGAAAGGAACTAGAAGCCCACCTCTGGGACCCCATCTTCTCCACCCAGGTCCTAAGGCTTTTTGAGCCCCTGTGCCGCTTCCCTGAAGGGCGATTTAGGGATCTCAGGCTGGAGTCCAGCCCCTGATCCATGTGCTGCATTCAACTGTCTGTGGTCGCACGGTAAGGATTTGATTTTGGTTTGGGGGGCCATCTCTTGGTTTGGTTTTGGTTTGTTTGTTTTTGCGGTACGCGGGCCTCTCACTGTTGCGGCCTCTCCCGTTGCGGAGCACAGGCTCCGGACGCGCAGGCTCAGCGGCCATGGCTCACGGGCCCAGCCGCTCTGCAGCATGTGAGATCTTCCCGGACCGGGGCACGAACCCGTGTCCCCTGCATCGGCAGGTGGAGTCTCAACCACTGCGCCACCAGGGAAGCCCTCTTGGTTTGGTTTTGTTGCTAGCTATTGTTTAGTAGCTCTGTAGTGACCTTAATGGGAAGGAATTCTAAAAAAGAGTGGATATATGTATACATATAATTGATTCACTTTGCTGCACAGCAGAAACTAACACAACACTGTAAAACAACTATACTCCAATAAAAATTAAAAAAAAAAAAAGACCCCTTCCCTGAGACCAAGACAACCCTGAGGGTTTCTCGGATTAGGTGGCTATTGCTGAGCCTGATCCCTAGCTTTTTCACGATCGCCTTGCCTCTCTATGCCATGGACCAAGGAAACAACGCTGATCCCTCGAACTGCGACTCCTTCCACGTCTGTGTTTCAAAACCTGAAAAACTCTATCCTCTTCTTCCACCTTTGGACCCCTCAATTACTCGTTACCCTTTTCCCTTTTTTTTTTTTTTGCGGTACGTGGGCCTCTCACTGTTGTGGCCTCTCCCGTTGGGGGGCACATGCTCCGGACGCACAGGCCCAGCGGCCATGGTTCACTCCGCGGCATGTGGGATCCTCCCGGACCGGGGCACGAACCCGTGTCCCCTGCATCGGTAGGGGGGGCCCCCACCCCCGCGCCCCCAGGGAAGCCCCCTTTTCCCTGATTTTTTATCACAGGATATTGTATATAGTTCCCTGTGCTATACAGTAGGCCCTTGTTATTTGACCACTATATATATATACACTTTATATATATCTTGAAAAAATATACATAGTAAATACTTTATATATATGAAGTATATATATACATAAAATGTCCAGACAAATCAATACTTAAATTTCAATTACTGGAGATATATATATATATATATATATATATATATATATATATATTCAACAAGTACTTCCACTGCTACAAAAATTTCACTGTCTTAGCCACCCTCAATCCTCTGGAAAAATAAAGCAGGCCAACAGTGCTCTTAAATTCAAACTAGGCAAACTCTCTGAGGCACCCAACCTGCCCCAAATCTTGTACTTGGTCCTGGAGATCCTCAGATCCTCCCCCTCCAGTCAACACTGATTATTCCCTTATGAATAATTATGTATTATGAAATAATACTGGCAGGCCAATGAAGATTTCTCACCTCTTCTGGACCTTACGTGACCCTAATTTGATCTAATATCTATCCTTGTATCACCTCACACTGGTCCGAATGGCCATCATCAAAAAGTCTACAAACAATAAATGCTGGAGAGAGTGTGGAGAAAAGGGAACCCTCTTGCACTGCTGGTGGGAATGTAAATTGGTACAACCGCTGTGGAGAACAGTATGGAGGTTCCTTCAAAAACTAAAAATAGAATTACCATATGATCCA